TAAAATAGAATAGGTAACGAATATAGGGCACTCAAGATACGATTTGTTACTTTTAGTCGCAGTTAAATTTCAATGCTGACACCTAAAGGAAGCAGCAGTTTTTAAGGTGGGAAGACATAAAACGCTGGGGCACTCAAGATACGATTTCCAACTTTTATTGACAGTTAAATTACAATGCTGATACCTAAAGAAAGCAGCAGTTTTTAAGGTGAGAAGACATAAAACGCCTTTTTTGACTGGCTTAAATCATCGACTGTCTTTTTCGAGCGCAGCGGGAACAAGTATAAATTATGGTCCAAAATCGAACTAAGTCGACCTAAAATTCCTTTGTTCTTTTACGAAGAAGACAGTCGATGACTGGAGGCAATAAAAAACGTTTTAGGGTGGGAATACATAAAGCGCTTATTTGGCTGGATTAAGTCAACGGCTGAGTTCTTCGGAAATGAACAAAGGAGCCTAGGGCCAAAATCAAACTAAGTCGATCTAAAATTCCGTTGTTCCTCTACGAAGGAGCCAGCCGATGACTTAAGCCAGCCAAATAACCGCTTTATGTATTCCCAGCTTTATATATTCTCAACTTAATTCATTGACCGGCCGAAGAAGCCTGCCGGTAACTTAAGCCAGTCAAAAAAGCGTTTTATGTATTCTCACCTTTAGGAATACGAAAATAGCATCAAATAGCGGAAATGGCATCAAATTTCATAACAAATTTAGATTTGTTCGAATTGGTCAGCTTTGGCACGAATTATGGCCTTCCAACGGCCAATGAAATCGTCACACGCTGCCCGAATGTTGGTCTGTGGTATTTTGATCCATTCCCGGCGAAGCGCTTGCTTGAGGTGATCGACACTTTGGTATTTTTTAGTGCCAACCTTGCTTTCCAAAATACTCCAGACACAATAGTCCAACGGATTGGTATCCGGAGATTTTGGAGACCATTGTGCACTGGAAATGCAGCGAGTGACCTCATTTTGTAACCATTCTTGGGTGGCGAGCGTGCTGAGTGCGAAGATGCTGGGTCCTGTTGGAATGTCCAAGGTATGCCCCTCAAACCTTTGCGTGCCAAAGGCTTTAATACACCCTCCAGAGTATTTTCATGATCATTTTCGGCATTTATTCTGATGCAACGGTCGATTAATATGAGCGGAGAGCGACCATCGGCTGTTATGGCGGCCCACACCCTCACCATGGCCGTTGCTGGAGTTCTGGTAGCCAACCGAAGGTGCACATTGTAAGCTGACCTGACCTCTTTGGCAAGTAAACACGATCATTTTGTTTGTTTTCAAACTGCTGGACAACGAATGTTTTCTCATCGGAGAAAAGCGAAGCGACCAAGCGAAGCAACTCTTTAACCCATTATGAGTCTATTTTCTTTCTGTTGCGGTGTAAGTTCTTGCACTTTTTGGAATTTCAATGGCTTTACCCCGAGCTCATTTTTCAATATTTGCCGAATGGAATATTGCGATATTCCATTTTTCGGCCACTGCGAGGCGGGTTTCGATCAAGTCGCTTCTTAACTTTTCGAACCATTTCTGCTGATGTTGCTGTTTTCTTCCGTCCACTTCCTTGACGTCGGGCTACGTTACCAGTATCACGGTAACGAGCGATGGTACGAGACACAAAAGATTTATTCACATTTAAATGCTGGAGTGCTCTAACGATAGCCACTTGTGGTTTTCCAGCCAAATATCTGTTCATTCTTACAGTTCTGGAACAGAGCTAAAGTATTCTAATTTTTAATAAAATATAATCAAAGGAGATAAAGAAACATATGCAGGTGTGTGATACCAAAAATTATGAGTCACATTTAAAATGGCAATGTCCTATGTCTTTAAATCGGTGTTTCTATTCTCTTATATATATATTCCATATATTCCATATATGACTAACGCCATCTACATTTCAATGTAGGCATAGTTTTTGCATTTGGCTCACTCGTTTATCGTCATTGCAGGCTCCAGTCTTAAATAATTCACATAATTTCTTCATCTAACCTCATTTACAAATACCACACTATTGTCACTAGTAGGAGGCAACAGTGTTGTATTTTCACCTCAAAGTCACGATCTATTTCACCCTTTATATAAAAGCCTTTTTCTAGCCCGTCTATTGCATGAATGACTAACGCCATCTACACTTCAATTTAAACACATATTTCTGTTTTGTCCTTTTCTTTTTGGTCATTGCATTCTCCAGTAAATAAATAACTCACACCATTTCTTCACCCTTCTTCATTGCTCCAGTTTTTTTTCCAACAAGGATGACAATTAACTTCCTGAAATTGTTCCTGCCTTTCGTCATGACGTTGGAGAAACATGCATACTTCCCGGTATGCCTCGTTTTTCGTCGGTTATTTCTTCTGTTCATAAAGCATTTTCTAAGCTTTTACTTCCTGTGAATGTTGTTGTTGTTAAATAAGCGCATGCAGTTCCTTGATCCTTTTAGGAAAAATTATTGTGGTTGCGACAATAACTGTCGGAAAACATAGGTTTTTCTTTTCTAGCCCGTTTTTATGGCTCCCCACAATTGTTGCCCTATTCCGGTTATTATGTGCTTTGTTTACTCCAGGATTTTTATGTAAGGATTGCAGGACAATTTTTTTGTTATTATTCTAGTTTTTTTTTTCTTTGGGACATACAGGACTCGGTGCTGAATATAAAGAGAATAATTTAAGATAAGGAAGATGTTTAAGATACCCATTTAAAAATAAAAAAATTAAAATCCCTACAAAATATTTTCCAAAAAAAATATTTATTGGTCTTTAAAAGGATCTGGATTCTTTCTTAGATTTAAAGATATTATTTTTTTCTTTTAAAAAATATATCCTTTTTTAATATTTTTTGTTTAAAAAAATCGAGTTTTTTACTCTTTGATGGTCGTTGAAAACACATTCTTTAAAAAAAATACATGTTTTGCTCTTAAATGATCCTTGAAAAATCATTCTTAAAAAAATCACGTCTGAAATAGTTCTTGAAAAAATATTCCCTTTAACTATTTCAATTCATATAGTAGCGAAGCCCGACGTCAAGGAACTGGACGGAAGAAAACAGCAACATCCGCAGAAATGGTTCGAAAAGTAAAGAAGCGACTTGATCGAAACCCGCGTCGCAGTGGCCGAAAAATGGCTCGTGAGCTGAACATATCGCAATATTCCATTGAGCAAATATTTAAAAAATGAGCTCGGAGTAAAGCCATTGAAATTTCAAAAAGTGCAAGAACTTACACCGCAACAGAATGGAAACATGTCAAAAGAGCTAAAGAGTTGCTTCGCTTGGCCAAAAGTGGTGAAATGCCGAATTTGGTATTTTCCGATGAGAATACAATAAAATTAAAAAAACATAAAAAAAAATCATGTCGTTTGAGTTTTTTGCAGTTTGCAGTCAAGGTCAAATAATTTTAAAAGCCAAAAAGGCCATCCTTTTTATAACACCCCAACATTTTTTTTAGGCTGCTTTGCATCTAAAAGCTTCACTTATAGTCCCAAAATTCTACGTCATTTCCTTGGGCCAAATCAAGCAACTAAAATTTTTTTCTCAAAACAAAGTCCCTCACGATTTTCCCTTTAATCACATTTTCCATTTTCGCCCATGAAAAAGTAACATCCCACCAAAAATTACATTAAACTAAAACAAATGCGAAGTCTTTCTAACCTCACTTTTCTTTGGCCACATTAGATCCGCTTCCAAGGAGTCTGCGATGGCACGTCTTAATTATCTTTCATTTCAAATGAAAAGTTGTAAGAAAATGCTCTTCCTTTTTTGCTGGTGGTGGTGGTTACACGTCTTGGAAATAAAACTCTTTTTTTAACTTCACATGGTGGTGTTTAGAGGGTGGAGGGAGGTTATTTAAAACATATTTTTAGTTCTTTTGGACTTTGCACCGGCCAAATGAGTCCTAAATTTTTACACATGTGCTAATAGCGCGCACACACACATACTTTTACTTTTTATAGCGCATGGAACTTTAATTGATGTTAAGCTACTACTTTTTGGGGCATGTGTGGGGTCGTACGTGTGATTACTATGGGTGCAAGTGAATTATGGATGGGGGTACGAAAAAGAACGAACATGAGGTTTGTGGAATTTCATATACCCTACAGAATGAAAATCACTAAAGGTAAGTAATCCCTAAAAAGTGTTTTATTTTGTGATATATGAGATTCTCAATTTCAAACTAATCTGGAAATGTTAAATTTTCAATATTTAGAAAAAATACCGAAAACTGTTAGCGTTAGAGAACAATACCTAACCTAACAATTAAAAAACCCAATTCCTTCAACATGTTGCATATGTCCTAATTAACTTACATGTCTCCTCAAATTCTATGCTCGGTTCCGTGACTAAAAATCTAATTGCGGCATAACGAAAACACCCACGCACACATTGCCCACAATAAAAAACCTTTTTCTCTAATACTCTGATGCATTGCAGTTAAAAAGTTTGATTTCATTTGTTTACAGCCCAGCCACCAGGATACGTCTGTGTGTTGAGGCACAGGGACATGTGTGTTTGTGTGAATATAAATTATCATTACCTTCAGGGGAGAAATATAAAAATTTTAAGATCTGGGAAAATATATATGCTGGTAGACAGCAGAAAGAACATAACGTTAAGATGTTTGGGTTTTAAATATATGTTTGGGAAATATAAACTCAAAATATTAATAAATGTTATTTCGGAGTTTGGTGGGAACAAAGACGTGACTTCAAGTTTTGAAAATGTAACAACAAAAATAAAATATTTAGGGTTAACCTTAAAAGCCTTAAAAAGCAAATGGGAGTCATTCATTTTTCGAACTGGGAATGATGGAAGAATGTATATAAAAAATTAGAAAATAAAAAAAGTAAATTTGAAACATAGTATTTTAAATATATTTTTCTAAGATTAAAAAAAATAATTGACCATATTTATGTGAATTTTAAATAATTTTTTTCATAAGGCCTTTATTTATTACAAAAAAGGATTAAAAATTAATAATTAAATATACGCATTAATTAGATCTCAAATTAAAAATAATATATTTAAATCACAATAACTATTTATATAATATTCCTACACTGGTTATACATAAATGGATATACAGCATATTACTAGCTTTTAAATTCATTATATTCTATGTAAATATTTGTTATTATATTTAAGTCTGATTTTTAAATTCCTCTAGAAGCATTCTTCGAGCCCAATGGCCCATTGTAACGTTTCAAGACAATGGGAAAATTCTCACTGATAATATAATCATCCTTGAAAACAACAACCAGATTGACTTCAAATTCTGCAAGAGAAAATAAAAGAAAATTAAATTAAAAATTAATCCCAAATCACACAGAAAAACCACTGCCTTACCGATTTTAAAATTCTTTGTTATCAACGTGGGACAGGAGAACAAACGCGGCAATACCATATAAATGGGTATCTCCAATTTGGGGCAAATGTTGCCATCAACAATTTGTATGGTTTGTATTTCGGTGGCATCTTTGGCATAGCCCTCCTTGCAGCCACAGGTCTCAACACGCAACAATTGCAATTCTATGGATTTAATTGCAGCCTCGGTATGCTGCACCGTTAAACACCCCCTCAACGGTTGGGTGATACAAAATTCGGTCTTTTCCAATTTTCCGGTAATCAAAAACCTCGGCATTGTTATACGTTCCTTGGAATTCTTTTGTATACTTTCGGGGCTTATGCTGAAGCATACCTCCTTGGGCGGTGGCACTGGCTCCACATCGGGTTTATATTGTATACAAAACTGTTGGGTTTTTTGCAGAGATTTGGCCAAAAAGCTACGCTTTACATCACAACGCAATTGATAGTTGATATTGATGAACATGCCATGATAGGTTTCGTACAACACCTTAGGTTCCTTGGTGCATTTCAGAGGAAACTCAAAATGAAATTCGGATATGCCAGCATTAAGTTTTCCCGGTGCAGATAAATCAATTGTGGAGTTAAGCAGTGTTATAGGTTTAAGGGAATTGGAAAAGGCATCGAGTAGACCAACGGATTTGCTGTTGCTTAACTGTAGATTTACAATGCCCTCCAGGGACAATATGATGCCATCATGCTTTGCCTCCGAAGGGCAGGAAAATTGCACACAACCCACCAAGACATCCTGCAAATGTAAATGTTTTTAAAATTAGGATTTTTTGTTTGGGATATGTGATGGAGCTATACTTACATTTTCATAGTAGACCTTATTTTCCCGTTTTAGTTTTATTTCAAAGTTAATGGAACTCGAACTCATGATTCTGTCGGTCTTTTAGCTCTTGATCTGAAAACGAATAATATTACAGTATAACATTTTATAATATGCATTTAGGTTTTGAATATTATCCTTTATACAAAGAAGAACTCCAAGGCCTTCATCATCAAAAAACTCTAGGACCTTTTATCCATGGTATTCCAGAGGAGAAGGTTTTCTCTTCCTTAAAAGGGAAGTCCATAGAAGATATCTATCCAATGAAGGCCTACATTTTGGTATTCATACCTTGTTAATTTAACAACTCTATCTTAGAACCTGGAGATATGGGGAGCTTGCCGTCTCCATCAAAAAATAAACAAATCCGGCACAGCTGATTAACTTACATCTATTTTAAGATGTATGACAAATGTCACAATGGTTTAGAATGCTTTGGAAAAACATGGAAGACAATTGATGTTTCTTCCAATTAATGAATTGTTTATAAATTATTAAATGTAATGAACTATTTAATGTATAGTTTACTTGGGAATATATTCCAATGTTTTATTTAAGAAAGATATCTACAGTTATGCTTTACTTTAAGAAAAATGTCTACAGTTTAGAATGCTTCGGAAAATCATAACATTCTTTTTTAAAGGCGATTCTTTAAATGTAACGGAAAGTAAATGACACCCCTACAGTTTGGAATGCTTTGCAAATGGAATTCTTCCTCTTCTTTTAATTTAGAAAAAAGCAACAAAAAACAGATCAAGAACACATAACACAAGACAATTAAACAAATTCAGCAAAATTATTAAATAAAACTCGAAAATAATATGTTAAAATTGTACAACGGTGCTTTGAGGCACTCTTCCCGACGTTGTATTTCGCTGACAGCATGCCGAAACAACGAAGAAACCAACAACAGAGAATCAGCCACATTGAAAAGAATACGCGAGGAACTGGCCAAAGAAAAAGCTGCCCTCAAATGGCGTAAGACCAATGAAGAAGTCGGAGATGTTACAACCAAATTAAAATACTTTGCCAATAATGAGCAGACCTCGGATTTTATATTGCTCATGCAAAGACCCTTTGAACTAAATCCCAAAAAATGGCTTGCCATGTGGGAAAAGAAAAAGGAGAAAGATGAACGGCATATGCAAAAATTCCTCGCCGAGCGTCATGAAATTTTGGGACCAGATCTGGCCACAGCCCATTTCATTCTACATCGTGGTGGTTTGGTGAAATTTGTTAATGCCCAGCACTGGACAAAGGCAGATGAGGATAACAATTTTAAAGTACCCAATCAATATGACCCCAGTTTTAAATTGGAAGCCATACGTTGTGATAATATGCGTCTCTACTATGAGGGATTGGAGAATATACGGTGGTTGCAACATCTTAAATTTGCCTCCTTTCATAATGTCCTCAGTTTCGACGATTGGTGTTTGGATCGATTTTCCGGTTCCCAGTGTGCTAATCTCGAGGTATTGGACATCTCGGGGACTCAATGTACGGCCCGGGGTCTCTCTTGCCTCTATCGTCTGCACAATCTTAAGCTGTTAATTGTCAACGATCCCAAAGAATCGCTGGAATATGAACTGACATGTTCAATGTTACAGGAGACATTACCAAAATTGAAAATAGTCGATGCAGCTTCTGTACATAATTTACAGTAATATTACAAAAAAAAAGATATATTATTTACAATAAATTATTTAACAAAATTTATAGAAATCGAAGAAAAATTGTGTCGCCGTTATTGTTTTGGTTTAGACTTCATATATTCAGCCTTTATGGCTTCTCTTTCTTCGACGGGCGGTAAATATGGGGCGATGCCTTTGGAACGACGATCGGAACGTATTTTGTGCTAAAAAAAACAAAGAAATTAGCATTAAGAATCAATAATGGGTAATTATGCTTAGCAAGCAGACTGTAAAAGGGAATTTTTAAAATAGAAATTATAATTTTTTGGATCAAAAGGATGCGTAGAAAAAGTAGGCAACTAATTACAATTGAAGTGACTAGTTTTTCGCTGGTGGACGTATGTGGTTGGCATTTAAAGCATAGACCAAATCAACATCCCAAATTAGGGTTTTCGTGCCAAGTAAGTTTTTTCACATTCTGTTGGAATTGCGTTCGATATCCAAACTAAACAAGTTCTTCCTTTTTTAGGTCAAACAACCCAAATTATGTTGTTTAAAACAACTATCGCCTCTTGCGATTGAATTTTGCCGTTCAATTGGCCATCGTTACAAGCGATTTGAATTGTATTTAACACTGTATCTACCTTAGGAACTTCGAAACATTTTCTTTGGGAAGCATCCAAACGAGCCAACAATTATTAGAATTTTGCCAACTTCCCGTGAAGCACTGCTCATAAAGTATGTTCGTGCAAGCCCTCATATTATCTTACCCAAAAATCCTTGCAATTTTTGTAATTTGCAAAATAAACCTCACAGGCTTCACGATTGAAATTGTTCTTGTTCAGGCATTTGTAGGAGAGCTCTTGTTCCTAGGAGACAAGAAAATATACAATTGATGGACAATATTTATCTTTTTTTGTCAAACTTTTACCTTTAGGCAGGGATTATCCTTTTCGGCGTCCGGATTGCGTGGCATCTTGGCAAATAAAATCCTTTTTTATGTTTTTATTATATAAATGTCGCAAGCCGCTTCCAACATAAACAAACGATCCCCACCAACAAAAGACTCCAATTGTCAAAATAGTTTGAAATTCATAGGTAAATGATGTCTCCCCAAACAGCTGTTTAATTATTATGTAAGGTTTGATATGCATTGCTAGCATGGTTTCATAGTAGTTTAAAATGCTTTGGTTGGGCCAACAATGAAAGTGGTTTGAAATGCTCTGGTAAACAAAATAAAAATAATTCAAATGGGAAGGTATAGCAGAAATTGTAGCATTTTGGAAAGGTAAGAGGGTCAGCAATAACTTGGCGTCAATTTGGTTGACCCCATAAAGGGCGCTTTTTGAATTTTTGGGGTTTTTATAAAAAATCCGGGTCCAAAAAATAAATAAATTGACTATAACTTCCGAACCGCGTATTAATCATGTGACCACTTGTTGGATAAGTATTTTCATAAGCTTTCAAAAGTCTATATCAGGTAAGTAGATCCGGCCCGGGCTGGGCCGAATTTTCGGGTCAAAAATCTGGGGTCCCGGAATCAGGGTAAAATTAACTAGCTCTGGAAAAAATGCGAAAAAATCGAAGAGTTTTTACTAAACTAGAGTTGTTCCAATACAAGAATGTCTTATAAGTTCAAGTGGGGGGGGCAGCCATATTAATAGTTTGAAATGTACATTTCAATTTATTAATAAATCCCCAAGGACCTCCAATGTACAAATGAGTGTAATGCATAACGCCGAGAGACTCTGTTGTTTACAAATGAGACACATGGAATACATAATTTAAATGAGCCACGGAATTGTTAAAGAAAGTTTAAAATGCATAGGTAAAAATCTTCATTTGTGCAAATAGTTTGAAATGCATTCGTAAATTATATTACATTCCTAAACAGCTGTTTTGTAGAGTAAGTACAGTTTGAAATGCATTGCTAAACTCTTGTGATGGTTTGAAAAGCTTTCGTGGCAACAGTGAAAAATACTACAAGTAAACAAAATGAAAATACTCCAAACTGTTATGATGTAATTATTTCAAATGTTTTGAAATAAGTAGTTAAATGTAGCGCCTAACAACAACAAATACATTAAACAGGTATTCCCTCTAAGGTCAAGTGTGTGTAACAACCATACTAACAGTGTGAAATGTACTGGTATATATAACGCATAAACTTATAAACGTAACGTTAACGCAGAGTATACGTATATTTGACAGTTACCATGAAATTACTCGTGCGTGCCTAAATTACATATAAAGCGCGGGAAAACACAAACGATATTCCATCAACAACAAATTTACCTCCAAATTTGTAGCAATCTAAGCTCAACTGTGTTACAATTTTCTAAATCAATAATGAAGTCTAGATTACTTAATTTCTCTGTGATAAGTTTTCCCATAAGTTTTCAAAACCTCAACACCGGATAAAAGCCCCAACCTTTTATTCGAAATTAAAATCAAATCTCATGATGTTTTGATAAGTTTTTATCCAAAACTATATGTATTTTGTTTGTATATATTTTTTACAGATTTTTTTTATTTCTTTTGTTGCTGGTTTTGTTTTTTTTTTTAATTTACTGATTTTAAATGTTCCTTATTATGTCTTACAGTTAAATTTGTTTGTAAATATGTAAGTAGTAGTGTGAATAGTGTTTGAAATCTTAGGGTAATTATAAAAAAAACAAATTAAAATATATTTCACGGAAGAAAAAGGAAAAGAAAAATTAAATTAAAAAAAGTAAACTAAAAAATTCTCATTTAAAAAAGAAAACTTATAAAAATGTTTTGTTTAATTTTAGTTTTGAATTAAACTACAAATCTGAGCGAAGATTATTCTTCTTATCTGTGGGAGGCAGGATTTCTTTCTGTTGTTTTTTATAATTAAACACCAATTAAACAAATAGCAGAAAAACAACATTGAATTTGGAAAAAAAAAACAACGAAACAATAAAAACTAGTCTAGAATTTCAAATTAAATCCCGGACCCATGGCCAATTGCCGTTGATCTATCCCAGCATTAAGCACAAACCCGGTATTGGCAGAGGATTTTTTATTGCCGGTTATGATGCCGGAAATAATTTTGCCGCCACTGCCAGCACCGGCCACATCATCACGTCCCAATTGCTTAAATTGGCTGCCGCCACTGGGTGGCTTAGGTGACGAGGCCAGGGCCTTGCGTGCACCTAATTCACTTTTGGCCGGCCAGGTGGGAAACATGGATGGATCAATGGGTACAGGTAATTCCTTGAAATATTGATGTTTCAGTGCAGCATCGGCTGTTAGCCTTTGTTTGGGATTGTAGGTGAGTAGGCCCTGTAACAGATCGATGCCCATGTCACTGGTTTTGTCGGCAAAATGCTTGCGTAGACTGGACACGGGGTAATCAGCAAATTGGGAATTTTGACTCAACATACTTTTCACCAAGGGCAGTTCATTGTAGCCGGGCCATATTTTTTCGTTGGGGGTTCCAAGTTCCTAGAAAACCAAAATGTTATCTCTATTAAATAGATCCACAAAAGCAATTCAAAACTTTGAACTTACCTTAAAAATCTTATTCAGCTCATCCACCTCCGTTTTGCCCGGAAATATGGGAGCCATTTGTAGAAATTCAGCAAAGATACAGCCCACCGACCAAATATCAATGGGTGTGGAATATTCGGCCGAACATAAAAGCAATTCTGGTGCACGATACCACAATGTTACCACCAGGGAGGTGTATTTCTTGAGCGGCGAACCATATTCACGGGCCAGACCGAAATCGCCCACCTTCAGAATACCCTTGTGTGAGAGCAGCAAATTCGAGGTCTTCAGGTCTCTGTGCAAAATCCAATTGTCGTGCAAATGGGCCACGGCCCTCAACAGTTGTTGTGTTAGACACTTGACTTCGCCGGGGAAAAAGGATTGCTTCTTGGCCTTCATAGTTTCCATCAGCGATTTCAGATCATGTTCAACATAATCCATGACAATGAAAATCTTATCCATATTCGAGCCGACCACAATTTCTCGCACCGTTACAATGTTGGGATGTTGTCCCTTGAGTAGGGTGTTGATTTCACGCAGCGATGTAATGGGAAAGCCTTCTTTTTCCTTTTCCATTTTCAGACGTTTTAGGGCCACAATTTCATTCGTTCGCTTATCCTTGGCCCGGTACACCACACCGTATGTGCCCTCTTCGATGCGATTCAGACATTGGAACTCTTCCACGGATCGACAGCCTTGTATGCCGGGATAATAATTGGGCAAAGGATTGCCTTTGTCATCGAGCAGCGGAGCATCTGTGTCAGACTCTTCCGGTTTTTTATTGTTCAACTCATTGTCTTTGTTTTCCTTTTCTTCCCGCTTGGAATTTGCCTTCATGTCACGTTCCTCGGAGCGTGACCGGGATCGAGAACGCGATCTGGAGCGTGATCTGGAATTTGATCTACTGCGTGAACTGTGCGAAGACCTGGACCGGGAACGAGAATGTGAACGGGGAGATCTTGAACGTGATCGGGAGCGGCTGTGAGCCGACGAGGCAGAACTTGAGCGTGACCGAGAACTACGTGAAACATAGGATTTTGATCGCGATCGACTTCTCGATCTGGAACGTGACTCAGCTGGTGTGTGGGAGCGAGAGCGCGAACTTGTACTGAGGCTGGGAGAAAGTGAAACAGTTTCTGTGTTTCTAGTCGTTTTGTTTTTCTCCCCTCCGGCACCCTTCACTTCTTCCACTTTTGTGCTCTTCTTTTTCTTGTCGTGCCTTGATTTTCGGGCCTCCGGGGACTTGGAAATTTCCCCCACCGACAAAGGACTATCAGAGATTTCACCCTCACTCACATAATCGGATTTTTTCTTTTTTGTTTTGGCCTTTTTGTAAGCGCTGCGATCACTGTGATAATCCTCGGACTCATCATCGGATTTTTCTGAACCTTCATTGCCGCTTTCTTGGGAATCTTCATCGGATGAATCAGATTCGGAATCTTCCTCCTCATCGTCGTCGTCGTCATTATCATTGTCCTGTTGTTCTTTGGATTTCTTAAGACGTTTACGTTTCGCCTTCTCCTCCTTGTCGTTGTGTTTGCGTTTGACAACATGTAGACTGGCGGTAACACTGGCCGCCACAGCGGTGGGACTCAACGCATCCACAATGGATCCACGTTCTCGCAACATCTCACGACGTGCCTCCAATTCCTTGCGTGCAATATCACGGCGTTTATCTTTCTCCTGTTCGGCTGCCAAAATTTTGGCTCGCCTAGCTACCAGTTCGGGGTCTTCGGGACTTTTGTCTTTAGATTCTGGGGCTGGTTTTTTGGCCGACTCCTTTTTCTCTGGTCGCTCAGCCGCCACCCCTTGTTCTTCCTCCTCCTCCTCGCCATCTTCCTCCTCATTCACATAACGCTGGTGCTGTTTGGCATGTTTGTCTTTGTGGCGCTTGTGTTTTTTGCGGCGCCTCTGACGTTCCACTTCGGAACTATCATCGACGAGCACAACATCATTGTTGTCACGATCTTTTCGCCTTCTCTCCTTATGACGTTCGGATTTGCTTTCCCTTTCGTCGTACAGCCTTTCGTTGCGTTCGTACATCAGGCCACCATCATCAACATCCATGACATCATCCTTCACATATTTGTGGCGTTTGCTTAGCAAACGAGAACGCAGGTCTTGTTCCAGACTCTCGGGGTCCTTGGCCGCCTGGTCATAGTACTTGCGCTGTTCATAGTGTTTGTGGCTGCGGGCGTTTTCATAGGCCTGTTGATGTCTTTGCTGATGCTGCTGCTGTTGGTGGTGATGGTGATAATCGGTGGGTGTTTGGTGATGATGATGCTGCTGGTGATAGTCTTGTCGTCGATGATCATAATAATCCTGGTGGCTTCTGGGTGGTTGGTGCATGTGATACTGATGATATTGATGTTCCGGATGGCCATGATGATAGCCCCCGCCGCCGCCACCCATTTCTTGATGATATATACCTCCCCTTGATCTGGAATTGTTTTCTCCCATTACTCCGGCACCCATGTGATCGTAGTGCTTGTGATAGCGTTTATCATTGTTGGCCATATACTCGTCCCTCTCGAAACCCCTCTTCATTTCCTGTTTCCTGTCAGCATCACTGCGTCTTTCGGGACGCTCATCGCGCTGTTCCCTATAATCCTTTTCGCGCAAAGAACCTTCTGAATAGCGATCTCTTTCCTTGTGCCTTCGTTCTTTGGAATGTTTTTTATCTTTGGATCTTTCTTTGCGCCGCGAACCGCTCGAGTCCCTGGCAACTTGAGCCTGTGGTGGTTTTATGTCCAAAGAATCGGTATCATGTTCCTCTTCGTCGCCACTATAAAAGTAAAGAATAAAATAGGGAACACATTTTTTCGCTTGTTTTTTTGGCCATACAAAGACTAAAACTAAAATTAGAAATAAGGAGGATTAATTTTGTTTTGAATACAAAAACAACAATAATGGTAGTAGTAGGAATCAAAAGACCACACTTTTGCCTTGAAGTAGTTATAGTTGTTGGTGTTGACAGTCCCGTTCTCCAGATGCAATACAGTTCAATGGCTTTATATGATGGCAACGATCCATTCTCCATTTATTTTGGAAGACTAACGATTTACTCTTCAGCGCCAGCACATAGTGTGTACTTTGTAGACCGATAGATAGCGTTTGTAAGCGCGATGTGATGCCGTTTTTTGTTATCTCGCTTTTTATTTTGATTAAAATCGAAAGAAATTGATATAAAGTTTTGAGTTTATTTTAGTCATTTTTCTGTTACGTCTATTTACCCGTTTTACTAATTTACTTTCTTACATGTGCTGTGTTCGGCTCAATGCTTTGCTTGGAATTGTATTATTCTACATAGAAAGAAAAAAAGAAACAACAAAAAAAAGTTGGGAACTTTGATCAGTGGTTTGAAGACGAAACAGTTTCAAAAAAGTTTATAGTTTTGACTTAAAATTAAAGTGGAGAAAAAGCTTAACATAGCTTGGAAAATCCACAGTTCCACTATGGCTCTCTCTCTATGTAATTGGAAAAGAGTAATGTAACGTTCATTTTCAAATAACATCACGCCCATTTACAAATATAGGAAGAAATATTAGAAATAATAAGATAACCTAAGACATTATTTCCCAAAACTGAACTGAAGATCTAGAGAGACGACCCTAGGTGGATTATCTGCCGAACCCAGGTTGGTGGAAGAAAGAATGCAAAAGTTATTCGGTTTCACATGACCCCAATAAAATGGGTCATCTATCTAAGATTCAATATTTTCTGATCTCATTTCCGCCGATATTCATCTAAAACGATTTTGAATTCCATGGATATTAACTTTAATTTTTAAAGGTATCCTAGATGTCTGCAAAGAAGATCTAGAGAGACGACCCTAGGTGGATCATCTGCCGATCTTAGGTTGGTGGAAGAAAAAATGCAAAAGTTATTAGATTCACCTGACCACAGTTAAATGTATCACCTATTCAAGATTCCATGGTACCAAAAAAAAGTATTCTATCAACATTTTCTGATCTCCTTTCCGCCAATATTCATCTAAAACGATTTTGGGTTCCATGGATACTAATTTATATTTCTATAGGTATTCTAGATGTCTGCAAAAATTTTGCCTAGATGACCCAAGGTAAATCATCTGCGAAAACCATTCAATAGCCATTGAGAGTAGCAAATGTAGGAAGAAATATTAGAGATAATAAGAGAACCTAAGACATAATTTTCCGAAACTGAACTGAAGATATAGGGAGACGACCCCAGGTGGATCATCTGCCAAACCAAACCCAGGTTGGTAGAAGAAAAAATTCAAAAGTAATTAGATTCACCTGACCACAGTTAAATGTATCACCTATTCAAGATTCAATGGTATCAACAAAAAAGGATTCTATCGATATTTTCTGATCTCATTTCCGCCAATATTCATCTAAAACGATTTTTGGATCCATGAACACTAATTTATAATTTTTAAGGTATCCTAGATTTCTGCAATAATCTTGCCTACATGACCCAAGGTAGATAATCTGCGAACCCATTCAAAAGCCATCGAGGGCAGCTTCCTGAGAAAATGGAAAAGTTATTAGATTTTACATGACCCCACAGTAAAATGTATTCTATCCAAGATTCGATGGAACCGACAAAAAAGGGAAAGTTCTTCATTTCCACACCTCATTTTTCCCATATCCATTTAAATCGACGACCAATTTTTGGATTTAATGCTAAATAACTTATATGTTCTGATCCTCAATACACCGCGGTAATCCCTGTCGGCTTCGGTACAAAATAATGTTGTCAACAATGACAATATACCTCCTGCTGCATCATAGGACAACATATAGTTTGCATTACCACTGGACAAAAAATGAAATTGAACTCACACTCGACTTTAATGTTTTAAAAATAGACATATTAATTTTTAATCATTATTAACTACTTTTGTAAGTCTTTTCTTCTGACGACAAACCTTTGTAACCTCATGCTTTAGGAATGAGTTATAAAATCAATATCCAACTAACATTCAATCAAAAAAATACTCCAGCTCGTGCCTCTTCTTCCAGCGGCATAAATAGCTAGATTTACGCAAAATGTTCGATGCCAAAAATGATGTTTAATCATCGATACAAGTCGTGACATCTTGATTGGTTGGGTATCAGACAAAGACTAATAATAGAAAACAATGATTTTAAAATTAATTCCTTATATAATTTTTACCTTATTACAGAAGATCTAATCAAAACAATGTGAATAATATATCATTATTTTGCTACCTTACCAAAGTGGGACCTATACTTTTATCTGGCATTGAAACACTTCCGCTAAAAAATGCTGGATGCCTGGATAGGAAATATAATACAAACTCAAAATAGAAAATTTAAAACAATTTCGTAGAAAATTATCAAAATGCCGATATGTAACTGCTATATGATAACGTGGACCGATATATACATTTCAGTACCAATCATCCTAGATACAATGCTGACTATTTTGCCAAATTTCAAAGCTCTAGGTCAAATAATATAGACTGGATCTTGATGTCAAGAGACAGACATCGTTAAGTCTAATTTTAAGCTCATCACGAATAATTCCATGGTGAAGGGATATTAAGGAATATTAGAACTCATTTGATAAAATTTTATATATTCTCGTTTAATAATACATTTTAACTCCGAAGCATACGTATAATCAAGGTAATATCGTTTTCAAATAGCTTTCACAATGTTAAGCTACATTTTATGATCTGCTTCTATAAGGTAATCGAAAGGCATCCTTCGCTTCCTATTCGAAATAAATGCAGTTTGGGTTCCAGTAGATGTGTGTTTCTGCCTTCTACTGGAATGGTGACTAGAATCGAGAACTTGAAAGAAAACATAAGCATCAATCAATCAAACAGATTCTGTCGGATTATTACATAAATGTCAGGAAAATTTGCAAAATCTTAATCTGATGCACACTTTACACAATTTCAATACTACTTTTATTCAAGATATTACGAAAGAAAATAACATAACGAAAAATTTATGAGTTTATAGAAACAAAATTGAATTCAACCTTCGTCACGTTTTCATTTCGATCGTTTGCGTTAAACGAAAAAAAATTATTAAAGAGGCCAAACTTTTACAGATATAGATATAGAACAAATGTCGATCAAAATGAATTTAAGTATAAAAAATGTAAATTAGTTTTTCAATGCGAACATTTTGCTCCCAGTCCTAAAAATACATCCATTTTTTGTACATACGAGCAGTGAGAAAATGGCTCTCTAAATGTTCATAACTCCAAAAGTACAGTCTCATGGATGAAAACCAGAACATGTAGACCAAATACCTTAAATTTGTGAAAATCTGAAATTGGTTAAAAACGTTCGTCTTTCCAGAATGTTTCCTACTAGCTTATAATAGGAATGATAAGAACTCCTAAAAACTCAAAATTGAATAAAGGGATCAGTTGTTGGAACTCTGCAGTGAAATAATCATAGAAAAAGCTAGCAAATGCTTTTTCGAAGCCTACTGATGGCTGATATCTAACATCTAAATTAATTGACCTTTTTTTAATTGAATTAACTGACCTTTTATCAGGGTTACTTTCAAACAGGCCATAGTATTTTCAGGTGGAGATTTTAAGTGCAGTTAATTATTTTCTTTGAAAATGTTGATATTTTGTGGGGGAGGTACCAGAAGTAATGGACCGATATTGCCCACCTCCGAATTCGATGTAAGTTTGACAAAAATATTACGATGTACCAAGTTTGGTATTTCAAGATTTTCTATGCGCACCAGCCAGACAAACGGACATCGCTAATTCGACTGCAAATGTCCTGAAACGGATTTGGTGCAAAGAGACCTAAGGTCTTAAACCGTTATGTCGATGAGCACGTTTTGGCCGTATCAAATCATATGCACCCTCTGTAGCCATATGGCTGAGGGTTTGTTTTTTATGAGTTTATAATTGATTTTTCAGTTCAAACTTTTCACTTGAATTTTTTAATTTATCTTTTCACTTCCTTAAAAATCGTTCATTCTTTCTAATTTGCAACGACCACGATTATAGAATAGATTTAAATAATTTTACATATTTTTTAATTTAATTTTTTTTTTAATCCTCACTAGATCGACCACGAGCACGAAGTTAAAGTTAAATAATTTTTAAATTATTTTTTTTTTTTTTTAATCCTTACTGGCGCATTTCACCTCACTTAATCCCAAAATGGAATTTAAAACAATAACATAATTTATATTTACCTTCAGTGGCGTTAGCAAGTTAAATACAAACACACATGGATGTCCTTTAAAAAGAAATGGTAAATACAACGAGCGTTAACAATGCTGTTACTAAAAGGTTACATTGACTGTACACTACTCACCTTGACCCAATTTATTCAAATCAGTATCAATCCATTGAAACAAAAACCAAAAACACCCCCACACCACACACGATGATGGCGTTGACGATGTCGATGATGATGATGCAGTAACAACACAATTCCAAAGCAAAAACCAGCTGTTGTAAAAAAGTAAATCAGCAACCACGGGTCCGAGCGGGCGGCAACGATTTGAAAATAAGTTGTTTTCTGAGAAGAAACAGTGTTTATGGAAGAAAATAGAAGATATTTCTTTGTAGAGAGACAATAAAAAAAAAACAAAAAAATTATAATTTAAAATATTTCTGGAGAATTTTTAAATTACCAACAAATCGAAAGTTTGTATTTATTTTTCTTAGAGTTGAAGATATGAATCCTAGCAGAAGTTATTAACGTTTCTAAATTGGTTGATGATAGGGACGGTACAATGCCGAAAACTCTTATCAGTTTGGGATATTGTGGAATTCGGCAATTATGTTTTATGGTGGCCAGAATTTCGTATCTTTCTCTTACCCCATATTGTTTTGTAGTGATGGTGATAATGGGTAACTGTATTTTGGTGGTGTACAGAGTTGTTATAGCTAGATTCCATTTTTCATATGGTTGTTTTTTCTGGCATATAGTTTCCCATTGCAGTGGATTAAGAAATCACTCTTTTTTGTGGTACATGTAGTACGCTCTTCTGCATCTTCTAGCTCCTTCAGCTTTTATCAGTTTCACAGCTGTCACAATTCATCAGCTTTTATCATAATCCACTTTTATGATTTCTTGCCATTGAAGTAAAAAAGCCATTCCTGGATCTTTTTTGTTTTTGTTGTTTATTTTACGTTGTTGACGGTAGTTTTTTATATTTTTTTAGTTTTTTTTTTTATAAAAAATTGATAGTTTAGGAAATGTTTTTTGTTTAAATATGTTACGTGGCCATCGCGCGCATCGGTCATTGGACATGTACACACTTTTTGGCCTATTTACAATGAAAAAATTCAAGTAAATTAAAAATGTTTACAATAGACATAATATATAAAAATTTGGTTTCAATAACAAATGTATGGTATTTTGATTCTGTCTTATATTCAAAACAAAATAATCAATAATAACTTTCGCTTAATACAAAATGAATGGTATGGGAATTAAATTATGAGCCGAAGTTAATTTTTTTGATAAATATTGGGGATGCGGAGGATTCGTGGGGTGTTGTTAGGGGAAGTATATATATATTTTTTTAAACCAAATATGGAGTTACTTTTTGGCAAAATCACATCTTACTGGACAGTATACGATGTAATCTTCCCTAAAAGTTTTCCAAAATAAAAATTAATAAAAAATAACTTGTTATGTACGAAATCAAGGAATATTTTTGGTTATGGAATATGAATCGAGAGTAATTGTTAATGTTGTTGATTCGATTTTAATTTGGTATTTACAGTTAGCAGATATTGTTTTCCAGTTTTTTTTTTAAAGCTTTGAAAATTGTTGTTTAAATTTGCATTCAGAAAAAGTGCGTGCTGTATCAAATTTCTAGATATTCGAAAAAAAATGTAAAATATTTTCAAAAATTTGCTATCCTTCTGCAGTCCTTCACCCCAATTGGGTTAAAAAAATTTAGATATCATTCTAGGGAATGAAGGTTATTTTAGTCTAATTGAAAAATGTGATTTAGCAAATACTAATTGCAACGAAAATAAATATCAATATTTATGTAAAAACCCTTTTGGATATTAAATTATTTTTTTCAAATCCTAATGAATGCTAAATCCTAGTTTCTAAAACTGGGCTCATTTGTTTATTCCCATATTAATATATATGGAACCAACGAATTCCTTAATGGATAACATATGCCAATGCCATCTTGAATCAATGTTTTTGTTATCGCAGGAAACTACGCATATAAATACATTTTTTTCTTCAACTTATACTAATGCCTCCCAAATTACGCAGAATTCCAAGAATTTTTTATGATTCAGAGACAAATATTTGACTTTCTGTTTACCACTACGTTGTTGTGAAGAAATTTGTGGCTTACAAACAACAATAACATTAAGTTGTTGCATTCCCTCCTATTGCAAATTCTCTTTGTGTATCTATTCTTTGGTAACAACATCAACCTGGCAAACAAACATTCACACTCTTTGCCAAACATATCGGGGGGAGATTTTCACATTTCAATGTGTTTTTGCGTGCGTCTCATTCATTCTTAGGCCACTCATAACAGTAGTGATAAGCAGTAGCGAAACACATAAGGCCCCAGATGAAGAAGGCATAATTAAAATATATGGAAATCTAATAAAAGATTAAGAAACATAACTTATTTGAACTGATTTGAATTAAAATGGAACAGAAATCTTACATTTATAAATATTTTTGCAAAACTTCCAAAAAGTCTATCAACATTTTACCCAGGGGCATTTGTTTTACAGATATTTATTGCCTGTGTAATGTATGAATACCTTGCAGCAATAAAGTGATTTATTTTTTCTAACATCCTACACAGTGCTGGAGTACGTTGCAAATTTCAAATCCTTTGGAAATTCCTTTTTTTAACACAACATGCTTTTCGAGGACTTGCATAACAATTTAAAAACTAGCTAAATGTTAAACCTATTCATAAAAAAACACAAAAAATTCTAAAAATGTTATAATTATAGGCAAATCAAAAAAAAAAAAAAAACATCTCAACATTTCGGGTAGAAGGCCTTTCTAAGCAAATCCAAAACATGAATGAGTTTACAAAAAGGCCTTCCACACTCATGCTTTACTTTCCGCCACTAGGTACATTAAAGCATATAGAGAGCAGCTATTTGATATAGACATACGAAAAAGAAAAAAAATATTGGGTTATGAGTACTCACCTAAACATATGGGCATCTGTGGGACTACGTAATTGCCCATCCTCGCTGCCAGACATAATTTCCTTTGTTTTTCTATTTTAATGGGATTCCTCTGGTCAACAACTTCCAAATGGTAATTTTTATTGCAAAAATGATTTGCAATTATTTCCACAAGTTTCCACAAAGGAATGCTCTTGAAAGGGTTGGCTGGTTGTGAATTGCTTCTTCTTCTTCTTATTTTTCGCTTGGCTGTAGCTGACTTGATGTCGCTTTCAAGCACCCCTTTTTCTTAGATAAAAAGCCACACAATGAACAGGAAATTTTACAACTTTCTTGTTCTCACAACGTCCATGGGAACTTATTCTCCGTTTTTTCAATTACAATTCCATGATTCTATGTATAATTTTTACAAATAGCAAGTTTTTTTCCTTGAAAATTTGAAGGAAATTGTAATTTTTCTGGCACAAAACGTTTACAGCAAAAAAGAAAACGGAGTCGAATGGCGAGTGATTGAGGTAACGGCGTTACCCAAAAATAACGGCGTTACCGAAAAATAAAGAGGAATAGCATCGTAGTGTTTGTTGAAGCGTAAGGCGTATGATGTTTGGACGTACCTTAATAAACAACATTTAAAAAAACCTGTTTTTATTATTATATAGGCATTTCATAGAATATATAAATATAAATAATCTCTTAAATACTTCTCCTATTACAAAAGAATCTGCAGGTTGATTCACTATCACATATAATGATCGAATTCATGGTAGAATAACGGTTGGGGACATTGATACGTCAAAAAATTAATTTTTCTTTTAAAAATAAGTAGATTTTAATCATGGTACAATAAAAAGGTAAGGTAGAGCTACCAGCAGATTACAATATTTTTCTAAGTGTTTCCGACTTCTGCCAATTTAGTGTATGTGTTTGTTGCTTTGAAAAATAAAAACAAAATATTTTCAAAATCAATGATTGGAAGAAATTTAAATTGCGGGGCACGTAGTAATAATATTAACCAGATTTGCCATGAAAATGAAAGATTGAAAACTTAGGATCATATTTTTGAGAGAACATCCAGGCATTTAATTTATCTTTGACGCTGTTTGACTTATTTTAAAAATGAACGAAAAATATCAAATAAAACAAACTGTTGCCTATAATTTTGAATAATTCTGACAGGAAGCGGGCATAGCCTCAGGGCTGTATTTCTGTAGTTTTACGAAGCTGTTCTACCTACTTATTGCATATATTTTTATTTTTTTTAATGAACTTGAATAATTTTTCATTCAAAATTTTCAATTCTTAATTTTATCTGACACTCCATGGTCCCAGCAGCTGTGTCGATGCGTCTACCTGTATTCTACTATGATCGAACTAAATAATTTGCTATTTTATAACAGCTTTTAACAACTTGTGATATAGATATCGTTATACAAACAATAACCAATATTCGTCGTTAGCTTATCTACCTATTCAATGTGCCTTGAGAGAATCGGCATTAAAATTTACTTAATCGGTCTACAGGTATGTGGTGGGAACCATTTTTACTCGTTTTGGCTAAGACTGATTTGCTATATCTCAAATCGAAGCAATATTTTATGGAAATTATGATTAGATTTTAAAAAAATACATCTAGCAATGACTAGTATATTAACAAGGGCCGCCGAAATATGTCCAACTCAATTACAAAAACCGAAGCGGGTTTCATCTGAACTGCAATGATTTAGGTATTTTTTATTTAAAATATTCATAGAAAAGAAACTAGGACCATTGCCACAACCTGATAAAAGTTGAAACAAACGCTAAACCACCATTTATCTCAAATTTATTTACACAATTTTATTTTGCAACATTTTCTTCAATTGTATTTGTTTAATTCTTATAAAAAATTACAGTATTTTTGTAAATTACTCTACCTTAAATATCTGTCCTTTAAGGCAGTTTTACACAGTTCTTTTCGCCCATCTGACATTGCTATCCTTTACAATAAATTAAAAGATAAAATGACAACATAAATTATAACAATAGTAGCTTTATAAGTTTTCAATTTGTTTTATTACAATAATCAAATCGAAATCGTTCGTATGAATATATATAAAAATAATACACTTTTCAAGCTTACAGTATGTAACCATACTTCCTATTTATAAAATATAAAACTTTTCACCGACTACTTTGCTATGGTATCAAAACTATTTCTAAACTAAACTACAAAATTTATGTCGACCAAATATAGAAATACATTGATTGCCAGTGTGGTATATAATCTTTTAGGGGTCCGGCCACCATTTTGGCAATTGGTATTTTGGCCAGTAGATTGAGTAAACCCTCCAGACGAGATTGTGTGAAACTTTCATAGACTGGGGAGCGCATCAAATACATGCACAAATTGAGACAACGATGAGACAGTATCCTTTGCTGTTCCTTGGACATGTGTTGACGATTGGCATGATACATTTTGATGCTAGCTAAATCGACAGCCAATGATACCATCAATTGTTTCCAGGATTTCTCTCCGAACACACCCATCGACGCCAAGTGTATTAAAGGCTTGGCTATATACAGATATTCAGCCTGCAATAGACCCTTGGGATGGTGTTGTTTTTGTACACTCAATACCTCTTCTTGCAGCTTAAAGCTACGGAACTGTAATGGTGGAGCACCCTCAACTTTTCGCATAATTCGGCCAGAGCGTTTAAGTTTTATTGTCACACTGTGTTCATCCATGGTCATTTGATTTGTTGCTGTTGTTGCATTTGCATTTTTCTTTGACATCTTTTTCCTATTCAATACCGGCAATGCTGGTGTGGTTATAATACGCTCTGTGGAATGTTTAAGTATGAAAAATCTCCCAGCTGCCTTCAGACATTGTAATATGGCCACGAAAATCCATTTACCCTTTACGCCGAATAACTTTTTGGCTGAAATCTCAATAAAAACTTCACAGTATTCAAGTGTGGTCAACATGACCTTTAGACGATAGCACGGCCCATTCGATGACTCTACAATTCCATCATTGGTGTGTGCAATTTCAGGACGTTTTTTGGCTATAATACGATCATTATACAACACGAACAGATTCGATAGTGAATAGACCAATTCGGTGGCCACCGAGGAGTCGGATATGCGTCCTGAGAATGGATAACATAATTATTAAATATCTTTTTCTGGACCCAAGATAAAACTATTTCACCTACCTGCAATAAAATAAGAGGCCCATTTGGATGTGGTTTCAATATCGCCTACCTTGTCGGGATTCTGGGAAACCCATGTTTCATATGATTCTAGTATGTATTTGAGTTTATCCATATTTTTCTCCTTTATTAATCTGTTAATCTAATCAATCGTTTAAGGTAAAAGTTTCCCAACAAGCTCCTGGTTGGTTGCCACTATGAAGATGACGCCGTTAAAAAATAATTTCGTGGCAATGGACATAATAAAATGGGATCTATAGGTGTAATATATGCTATATTCGGCCGAATGTTTTCTTCATATGTAGTGTCCAATTCTCCACGTGTAGAAGTTATGCATACCGTGTAATTCATGGCTGCCATTTCAGTTTTTCTATCTCTTCAAATTCTGAATGTTCGACATTACACACTTACTATTTAATTTCATAAATTACTGATCTGTTTCACAGCTGCAAGAATGTAAAACTTTTCACTACAATAACCAATTTTCCACTTATAACATCGAAGAAAATTGCAAAGCTAGTAGATTCTACAGGTTCCGGAACAAAGCATACTTTTCGAAAACAACCCATTTTTATTATGAAAGTTAGGTAAACAATTAGATATATTTTATCCTGCTATCGTTATTAAACTATTCGAATCAGAATTAAACAATACCGAAAAATCATGTTCCCAACTGAGAAAGTGTATTTTCGAAACCAGTTACTATAAATCTTATGCTTTTCGGAATTTGAGGAATAAACCTATGGAAAGAAAATTTGAAACTTTGAGCACAGATTTTTTAGGTTTATTCTCAGAAATTGAGCAAAGCGAGCTAGTGGGCACTAAAATTTTTTATGCTGAGATAATTTTGATTGTTGAACTAAGTTTCAATCATGGCTCCACTAGAAAGGTTGCTCAACATCGAGAAACTGAGAAAAATGCAACTCTGCACCTGAGTCTTATAGTGTCAAATAAACTTTTAAATATGCAACAATGGGTTTTGTTTATTTTAAAAATTTTAACATAACCAATTAAAGAGCCCGCTATCGTGACAGACGAATACAGGTAGTCGCTTTGACACAGATGCTGGGACAATGAACTGTCAAACCGATTTTGAAATTGAAAATGTTGAATGAAAAATTATTGAAATTTGTAAAAATTGTTGAGAAATGCATATTATAACAACCTCCGATTTGCATCGTATAAGAAAATATAAAAAAATCTTCTTATTTTTGATAAAACAATTTAAAAATTTTGACGTATCATTGTTCCAAAACGTTGACGCCTCTAACTGTATTCTTCTACCATGCCGACTACTGTGTAATCAGACAAAAAATAATTCATTTGGGAGATATCCTTGGAAGCCCTTGAAACAGTAATGATGCAATCATTTTGAAATGTTCTATGATAACGTTATGTGTGTAAACGTACTTTTAGCTTTGTTTTTTTGTTTTGCTTTTAACTGAATATCAACTCTGTGCTTGTTGTGTTTGTTTATGGCGGAAAAACAAACAACTACAAGAACAAGAAGGCAGGTGATGAAATTCACAGAGAAACAACAAAACGCAAAAGTAGAAGGATCAGAAAGGATACAAAAGGAAAAACAATTTCCCGAATTTCCCTGTCCTGAGCAAGACAAAGAAAAGCGACAAACGACAACAACAACAATGCGTACTGTACCATCTCCATCTGCTTAGAAACGAAGACGACGCTTGAGATCAGCGAGAAACAAAGCAATGGAAAAATATCAAATTACGCAGTATTAGATAAGAATTTGTAAAATAAGGACACGCTTAGGAACGACGACTTGAAGTCGGCACATCCCACAATTTATTAGGAGCTAAAGAAGAAGAAAAACAACAACTCGTATTTAATAGCATTGAAATATGGCTACGCCACAAAATAACACCCGAATAGCCTTAGCCGATCGTTTGGAGGCATTGCGGGTAGCCACCACACCATCCACTAGACCGAGTGATCCAATACCAGCTTCAATTTTTGCTTCATCCCTTATGGACAATACTACAAATGTTGCTCTACAGGATTATGAGGGTCACATAGCTTCGCCCGATGAATTGGTAATACGCCAACGGGGACGCCGTAGACCTTTAATGGATTGGACACCAGAACAGGCCACAAATATACGCAATCCCTTCCAGAGAACACCCACAAAAATGCCACTAAGTACAAATATGATATTGAGGAGTTCGCCAAGGAAACGTCTATCCATGGGCAGTACACCACCGGAACCTATGATGATGAACTCGAACAGTTCGCCACACAAGCTTAACGCCAAACAACAGTTATGGCCAGGATCACCAAGTGCTGCCAAGAAATTGCGTTTGGGGGATGAGGAAAGACCAATGGCGCAGATAAACGAAGAAATACCATTGGCCACGGTATTGCAAGGATTTTCACAACAACAACTGATCGACATGATTGTGGGAAAAGTGGCCGGAGATGCCAAGGCTGAGGCCGAGTTAAGGGCAAAATTACCAATGCCGGATATTGAGTGAGTCGGAATAAAATAATTTTAAAAAGAAAACAAATTTTATATTCTATTTGATTTTAGGAAAATGGAGCAGGATCTCCTACATGCCAAGCGAATGATATTCAAATCACTGCCCACATCACGTCTGTGCAAGAAAACCGATAGCACAGCCTTTACGCGGGCCGCATTGCACCTGAGTGAATTCAAACGTTTGCTGACACATCACACAAAACAACTGCACGATTCCGGACACTGGGATGCTCTGCTGGACTATATATTTATGGCCTGGCCATGTGTTAAGGCCACCCCAAATTGGGACAATGCAACACACAATGCGGTGCGTAAACAATGCTTCAAAGTGCTGACCTGTGGCTGTATGGCGGCTGTTAAGTTTGGTGGTTTACGTTTGGGCACTCAACGCTTACAGACGTTGGAGAAAAACCTTAAGGAATGGTCACAGGACTATGAAGATGTTATGTCCTGTGTAAATACCTTAAGCAAAGCTTTCACCAAGGGACGCACAAGTTTGTAACTTGGCAACGTAAAAGCGCATATACTCTTTAAGACGAAAACCCATTTGTTTTTTTTGATAGTTTTTGTAAATTTCCTTAAGCTAACGATACTACTTTTACGGACGGATGACCCTTAATTCTCTTTAATATACTTAGTTTGGGTTTAAGTATTATTTACTCATAACATTTAAGTTTTTTTTTTATTATTGCTCGAAGATTCTCATCATGCATGCCATTTAGAAGATAATTAATTATTTTGATAAACAAACAACACCTTGGCCATATTTTCATTGTTTAATAGTATTTTTATGTGAATTAATTTTTGTTCCTTTTTTATTTGATTTTTATTTTACCTTATTTTCCAAATTGTATTCCAAGCAAACCAATCTCAACAACAAACCCCAAGTCATTATTATAATTTTTGTATATGTTGTTTTTCCTTTTGTGATGTACTTTGTCTTTTGCATATAAATATTTTATTGTTTAGAGTTTTTTTTTACATTTTTTTGTGCATAAGAAGTTTGTAAGTTGTACAAATACATACATATATATTTTTCTCAATAAAATTTTAATAAGATATTTTTATACCAAGAAATGAAAAAAATATATATTTTTTAAAATACGAGCAAGTATCCAAATGTTCGGTTTGTTTTAGGAAAACATGGAATACAAGTTTTTTTTTTGGCAGAACTTTCTGTTCGGAAAATTGCCCACTACCCGAATTTATATATATCACATTTTTTATTCTGCTAATTGAGAAAGACAATTTTGGTATTTGCTTTGCATTTAATAATAACTAGTTGACTGGAGAGCCCTATAGCTGGGTTATAATTTGATCGGTTCCAGAGCTGCAAGAATTTGACGTTTTTACTACGATAACCGATTTTCCCATGGACTTTCCCTTTATGATAACGAAGAAGATTTCAAAAATAATAGATTCTTGCAGAATGTGGGATAGAATAGAGAGAGAATAGAGCAGATGTCTGGGTTTCTTGACATGTTTCGGTAGTAACAATATCCTTTGGAAGCCGTCTAATACAATTTAACCTATGCCCAGGTGGCCTTATTCATCTGAATAGAAATACGTTTGTTTTTGTATGGATTTCTTCAACAAAATCAATATTTGTGTTTGAATAACATTTTAAAATCACAAACTGTGTTTATTTGAGAATGACAAAATTAAAAGATTTTAATTTGAGATGTTTTCATTTGCATGAAATGTCTCTCATTGTGCGATCTTCGTCTTATTACTCAAACAAAGTTGCATACTTTCAGGCGTATTTTTACTTTGGATGATGCACAAGCAATGCTGATACTTAATAGTGCGTTTACACAGAAAGCCTTTATCCAGGAAACGTGATAATTGACCAATCATTTGTTTTTGGTATTAGTTTTATATATAAACATTTGTACTTGTTAAAATGATTGCATTAAAGCTTTTTGGTGGGTTAAAGTATGTTTAGATAAAAATCTCCAACCGGATTAGAACGGTTGACTGTAGAAAACATACATTACATTTATTGTGATTGGTGTATTTTCAGGGTTAAACCGGGCAGAGAGATAATTTTAATCCAAATCCAGTGTGTTAAATCATTTAAATGTAAACGTACCGTAAAGTATTCCTAACAAATATAAGAGTATGTTTACATATATATCATAATTGACCAATAGAAAACATAATTAACAAATCACAATGAGTTTGATCATGGAAAACATAATTTGAATGTATTTTGGTTGGGAGTTAGCCAAAGTACGTTGACATATAAATCTTTATCCGGACTAACCCTGATATTTGATTAACCACAATGGTTTGATTGTGGAAACATACATAAAATTTGTTGTGAATGGAGAATTATCACGGTTAAGCCGCGTAAATACACCAAACACTAATAAATTATTTCGATAAAACTGGAATATTCCTTAAAGTAGGAATGCATAATTAAAAGCATGGTACAATAAAAAGGTAAGGTGGAGCTAACAGCTGACATTTTTTTAAGTGTGCCAGATTTCTGTCAATTTGGTGTATGTATTTATTGTTTTGAAAAATGAAAACAAGCTGTTCTACCTTCTTATTGTACCATGGTTATAAGATAGACAAATGGCCTGAGGACACTGCAGACATACAATTTGAAAAAAAAAAAAAAACAAGAGGAGAAAAAATACTCTTTGCTAAGGGCTCTATCAGTCGATATATTTTTTACATATGTTGTGTCAAATTTTCCATATGTAGAAGTTTCACACATCGTACATCGAGTATAGTACATATCATGGTAGAATAATTCTGGTAGTTGTATCAACTCTTGGGAACATTAATATATCAAAAAAATTTAAATGTTTCTACAAAAATAACTAGATTTGTTACCAATCGGAGGTTGTTATAATATGCATTTTTTTTAACAATTTTTGAAAATTTAAATAATTTTTCAGTCAAAAATTTCAATTCCAAAATTGGTTTGACAGTTCATTGTCCCAGCAGCTGTGTCTATGCGACTACCTGTATTCTTCTACATTGGTACATATGTACTTTTTCGATAACAGCGAGCCCTATTTTCATAAGAAAATATAACTTAATCAAGAGTGTCGTTTATTTGTTGTGTGAAAATATATAAAATTACTTTTGCGGTAAAAATTTACCTATAAATTATTATAATAATAATAATTTTACAATGTAATCATAGACAATAAGAAAACAACACCTGTAAATGTGTAATAGCATAATTTATGAGTCATATTTAAAATGGCAATTTTGACACACACACGGATATATATATAACAATAAAAAAGTGACATCACATATGTAAACACCATTCTGTCTGATAATGCCTTAAGTTACCATTCACGTTTAACCTAACTTACCTTCGTAGAATCCTTTTAAAACAATAGAAACCTGTTTTATTAAAACATTTTTTTAAGTTGAATTTTATTCCAAATATTCTATTCTATGCGTAAATTTTATGGTATATGGAGATTTTTGTTCACAAAATATGATTTTTAAGATTTTGTGTTTCTTTGTGATGATTTGTTTAATGTAATTTGTACAATATTTTATTTAATACATACATTTTTTATTTTAAATGTTATTTTTTAAGAACTTAAAATATATGTATATTTTGTATAATAACATCAATTATATTGATATTTATTTTGAACTAAATTATTTGTGTTTTTTAGTGTGTAAGTATGGAGTGCTACAAATTAAAAAAAATAAATAAACAAGTGTCTTAGATGCAGTCCTGAAATTTTCATTAGTTTTTAGATAATTCCAGAACTAAAAAGTTTCCACTATTTTTGCCACTTTTACACATTTGCACCTAAAACTTAAACTTATTTTTTCTGTGAGAGCATATAACAACAATTTTTGATTACTGCTTCTCTTCTTCCTCTTATTAGTTTCTTTAACACATTTGCACGTTTACAACCACTTCGTAAACCAATTCAAAACATAATTGGGTTTCCTTTTGCTTTGATGTGTTAAATCGACGTGTGGCCAGGCAACTTCAGTTAGACTTTACCATGTCAAATATAAAGCTGTGTACACATTACAGAACATGATAATTAGATTTTGTTAGTTTCTTATTTTTGGTAAATTAGAATTTAAAAAACAATAATTCAGTTAAACACTGTATTTACGTTTACACGTTCAATTCAAATTTCAAAAAAAAAAAAAAAATGACAGCAGATCAAAAAAATAATAATAATAAATAAACAAATAACTGCTGTAAAGGGATTGTAGGTAAGAATATATCCATGGAAAAAGAATACACGTAGATGCATCAACGCTTGGGAACATTGATATGTCAACATTTTAAAAATGTTTTGTCCAAAAAAGTGGATTTTTATATGTTTTCTTATTCAACGCAAATCGGAGGTTATTATAATGTATATTTTTCAAAAATTTTTATAAATTTCACTAATTTTTCATTCAACATTTTCAATTCAAAATCGGTTTGACAGCTCATTGTCCCAGCAGCTGTGTCGATGCTATATTTAAAAAACCAAAATTCAGTTAAAAGCTGCATTTACGTTTACACGTTAAATTCAAATTTCAATAAATGACAGCAGATAAAAAAGGATAAATAAATAAAGGTGCAAGCATGGTACAATAAAAAAAGTAAGGTAGAGCTCCCAGCTGATTACAATTTTTTTCCAAGTGTGCCCGACTTCTGGCAATTTTGTGTATGTATTTATTGTTTTGAAAAATAAAAACAAAATATTTTCAAAATCAATGATTGCAAGAAACTTAAATTGCGGGGCGCGCATTAATAATATTGACCAGATTTGCCATGGAATTGAAAGATAAAACAGTTAGAATCATATTTTTGAGAGAAATCCAGGCATTCCAATCATTTTTCGCACTATTTAATCCATTTTAAAAATTAGGAAAAATATGAAAAAAATGAAAACAACGTTTTGTATATAACTTTGAATGAATCTGACAGGAAACGGGCATAGCCTCAGGGCTGTATTTCTGTAGTTTTACGAAGCTGTTCTACCTCCTTAATGTACCATGGTTGCAGGTATACAAAAAGCTCGAAGTCATGGCTAGGCTTATTAATGTCAAATTACAATGGAAAACGATGGCAGGATTTTAGTGCGGCTCTGTAATCCCTTTATGAAATGTCACAAAATATGCCTAGCCATTACTTCAATCTTCTTATGTACTTACACCTTTACTGCTGCAAGGGAATTGTAGGTAAGAAGATATCCATAAAAACTACTCATCTCATTCCTCTGATCTCGGTATACTAGTCACCAAATACATAATGTTAATATAGTTGCCAGCAATTTTTAATAATAATATTATGAAATTTAATATTATGAATTTTAATAATATTTTGAAATATTTTTTTTTCAAGAATTATGATCATTAAAAATTTTCTTTTTAATTTGTAGCACTGTGTAATTAATTAAGTTGTGTTGTGTAATTGTGGTGTTACATTTTGATTTTGATCTTGTGGTTTTGTGACCTCTTTTGATTATTTCTTAAAGGATTATATATTTTAATGAACCAAACATATTACAATTATACGTAAATTATTTAATATATGGACACAAACAATTATACAAAAAAAAAAACTATACAGAATGTAGGTATTGTTATATGGGGGTCGTTTATGTATATTGACAGGGAGAGACAGAGAGAGGTTTACACTTCATGTCATATTATAAATATAACTGAATTGATAAATCAAAAAAAAAAAAATGGCAAAATATTTCTCAATTAACCACAGTATGAACCTGATATGAGCAATGAGTAAATTTTCTTTTTGGAAAAATAATGTAAAAAATTAAAACACTATAACATTGGTTTATTCACAGGGAGAGAGAGAGAGTGGTTTACACATTCATGTCAACAAAAATATCTGTCTTTGTAAACAAAAATGCAAAATATTTATTAATTAACGGCAGATGAACAAAGGAGTTTTAGGTTGACTTAGTTCGATTTTGGCCCTAGGCTCCTTTGTTCATTTCATTTTTTTCCTTTGACTGTATGCCAAAATGTGCATTCACCTGTGTCATTTACACATTTGGTTTGCTATTTGCCCACATAGTCTTAGTTACTAAAATAACAACAAAAAATATATATATAATAATGAAACAAACACACATTACATACATAGGTTTACATTTTCATGACTAGTAGATAACATAGATACAATCATTCATTTTTTTAAAACTATTAAATTAATTTTATTCCATACAATATTTAACAACTAAATAAATACTTGGATAGTGGTTTATTTTCCAACCCCAAAGGGGAGGGGGAAAATTTATCGCTGAGTTGGAGGGGGGTGCCTTAGAAATATAAATGTCTAATTAAAAGATATAGACAGGTGATGAATAGCACATTGTGATAATTCGAAACAATTGTCGATGAACTTCGATGCAAACTGGATGAGGAGGATATGTGGCGCCCTGGAAGAAGAATAAAAAAACATAATTATTATTAGCAATTTAACAAATTTATGGACTATTTTTGAGGCAAATAATATTAAATCTAATTTTTCACAACAATTTCCGTTCCGTACTCATTTTGGTGGTATTATTAGCTTTCTTTTAATTTGTTTATTTATCTATTAGAAATTTACTATTTGTTTACATTTTCCCTAGCCAAAGCATTAGATAGTTTATTTGCTCTTGAATGCTCCATTTAACACCTCCCATCTAATTAAGTTAATAAATAAATGAAAATAAAAAACATATTCGGAAAGATAAAGAAAAAACTACTTTAAAGTCATAAAAATTCAATTTGTCGGGGCATGATAATTTAAAGCATGTGCCTTCATCTAAATCTGGAAAAAATTGCTTTAAACAAATCAAAATTTTGTTAAAAAATAACATATGTGGCGGGTTTTTTTGTAAATAATTTACTTGTGTTAATTTCGAATACTGCAATATTTATTTAACACTTTTTTTTAGATCTTTCAACTTTCCAGAATTTTTCTTGAGTGTTAAATAATTACCAGAGATTTATAACAGGTTTGGTGTTATTTTTCATATTTGCAAAAAAATTATTCTTTTTAGAAGGGAGAAAATTTTTCTGAAATCGAATTGTTTAAAGATTTAATATTTTTTCTTATCTCACCCGTATTTTTCCCATGAAAATAGGGCTCGCTGTGATCGAAAAAGTACATATGGCACATGGTAAAAGACCATGTGTACTTTTTCGATCACAGCGATCCCTATTTTCACCGAAAAAATACTGGTGAGATAAAATAGTTGAAACAAAGTCAAACGCCATAATTTTTACATTTTTTCAATTTAATTGAATGAGAGCAAAAAATGTCGGAAATAGCATCAAGTTTTAGAATAAGTTTAGGTTTCTTTGAATTGGTCACCTTTGGCACGAATTATGGCTTTCAAAGGGTCGATGAAACCGTCACACGCTGCCCTAATGTTGCTCTGCGGTATTTTGGCCCATTTCCGGCGAAGCGCTTGCTTGAGGTGATCGACACTTTGGTGCTTTTTTAGTGCCAACCTTGTTTTCCAAAATACTCCAGACCATGGTAGAAAAATACAGGTAGTCGAATCGACACAGCTGCTGGGACAATGAACTGTCCAACCAATTTTAGAATAAAAAAAATTGAATGAAAATTTATTGAAATTTGTAATATTTTTTGAAGATCGAATATCTTTACAACCTCCAATTGGCGTCGTATGAGAAAACTAGAAAGAATCTACTTATTTTTGACTAAACATTTAAAAAAGTTGACACATCAATGTTCCCAAGCGTTGATGCATCTACCTGTATTCTTCTACCATGACTCCGAACACAATAGTCCAACGGATTGGTATCCGGAGATTTTGGTGGCCTGGTGGTGCGTTAGAAATGAAGCGAGGAACCTCATTTTGTAGCCTCAGTCTTGGTGCTGAGTGCGAGGATGCTGAGTCTTATTGGAATGTCTAAGGTGCGCGACCAAAATGTTTGCGTGCCCAAGACTTTAATACACCCTCCAAAATATTTTCGCGATAATATTCGGAATTTATTCTGATGCCACGGTCGATTAATAGGAGGGGAGGGCCACCATCGGCTGTTATGGCGGCCCACACCATCATTATGACCGGCGCTTGAGTTCTGGTGGCCAACCGAAGGTGGACAGTTTCAGCTGACCTCTTTGGCAAGTAAACACAATTATTTTATTTGTTTACAAACTGCTGGACAAATAATTTTTTTTCATCGGAGATAGGAGAACACCAAATTCGGCACTTCACCACTTTCGTCCAAGCGAAGCAATTCTTTAGCTCTTTTGAGTCTATTTTCCTTTCGTTGCGGTGTAAGTTCTTGCTCTTTTTGGAATTTCAGTGGCTTTACTCCGAGCTTATTTTTCAGTAGTTGCCAATGTTCAGCTCACGAGCCATTTTCGGCCACTGCGGTTTCAATCAAGTCGCTTCTTTTCGCTTTTCGAACCATTTCTGCTTATGTTGCTGTTTTCTTCCGTCTACTTCCTTGCCGTAGGGCTAGGTTACCAGTATCACGGTAACGAGCGATGGTACGAGACACAAAAGATATTTATTCACATTTAAATGCTGGAGTGCTCTAACGATAGCCTCTTGTGGTTCTCCAGCCAAATATAAAGAAATCACACTATCACGCTTGAATTCCAGCGCAAATAACTTATTTGTCTGAAAAAATCTCACCAAAATGCTTTCGGACGCTTGTAAACAATATAATGAGCTGTCATTGGAATAATTTTAACAGCTGTCGGACGAATGGCTTAGAAATGACAGCAGTCTGAAGTTGGTTGCAGTTTGTTGATCTCACCCTGTATTTATTCACCGTTTCCTTCCATTTGGAATCAAAAATAAATGATTTATAATATTATAAATAAAAAAACATTCTAAAATTCCACCCGAAAATAAATTTTTAATATCTTTTAAATTCCTCACATAATTTACAATCGTGCCCACATGGAATTTCAATAAAATATAAAAATATTGCAAAATTTCATTCATAAAAATGAAAATCACCAAATCATCTTCTTCTGGCGAAGAGGAAAATGTGAAATTTATTTCAAAATATTCTCTCCTCTCCCCTCCCCCTTTCTACCTGGTTTTCTAATAGAGCTGTATGATCTGGCCATATATTTTATTAACTTGTTTATTAACATATACGCTTTTAAACATTTCGTCTGTGCTCCACCAAAGCACTGCCGCCCACATTCTTCCCCCTGCCCAACACACACACGATACGGCTAATGAGAATGTTGTAAATTATATATTGTTATTATTTAAATGCTTGATTAACAGCTAAGAATTTAGTTTTTCTGTTGTTGTTGTTGCTGAAAAACAACATTTATTTCTTCTGAATGAAATTCAATAAATTTCAAATAAAAAGAGAACAACAAATTGCCGTTCTTTGGAAATCTAGTAGTTATTGAAAACAACTTGTGATGGGGTGTGAAATTAATGGGAAAAGGAAATGCTGGAAAAAAATTAAAAGCAAAGAAAAAAATAGTGAAAGTATTTTGTGAGGTGAGAGATTTGTTACAGAGGCACTATGTTGGGGTATTCCAAAAAAAATATGGAGGAAATATTTATGGGAACAAAAACCTTTAAATTGTTTTTTATTATTTTAAAACAAAAATATTTTCTTACATTTTTAGTAGAGTTTTCCAGTAGTAGTAGGTGTTCTATTATTATAGCATTTATTAATTTGTTTCGGGTAAAACGTAAATTTTTCAAATGTATCAAGGGATTTGATGTGTGGCCAGGCAGCATATATTTCCTCTAACACATATTGTGAATGATGTATAAATAGGTGTGTCCCATGGTAGAAGAATATAGGTAGACGCGTCGACACAGCTGCTGGGACAATGAACTGTCAAACCAATTTTGGAATTGAAAATGTTGAATGAAAAATTATATAAATTTGGAAAAATTGTTGAAAAACACGGATTATAATAACCTCCGAATGACGTTGTATAAGAAAACATATAAAAATCTACTTATATTTGAAAAAACATTTAAATTTTTTTGACACATAAATGCTCCCAAGCGTTAATGCATCTACCTGTATTTTTCTGCCATGGGTGTGTCCATTGCACAATTACAGAAGGTAAAACAAAGTTACCTCTTGAATACAATTATTTTCTTTTGGTGCCCTTGTTCTGTCAAAACATATATACACTTTGTGTATGTGTGTGTATTGTTTCCGATTAAAAAATACAATAATTTGAAATTATTTCAAATTGGGTTGCAAAATAAATTATGGTAATTATAAAAACTGAAAAATAAACAAAACCAACTGTTGCATATTTAAAAATCTATTTGACACTAAAAGACTCCAGCACAGAGTTGCATTTTATAGTATCTTTGAAGTTGAGCAACCTTTCTTATTAAGCCATGGGTTAGTTACTTTTCGTTACTTTTCTAGTTACTTTTCCTGCAGAAATTGTCCACAAACTCCTTTCTGAGAGAGTAAGGAAGTTTTAATCTCTTTTGCAAGAAAACTGTTTAAAGTAAACGCACGGAAAATCCCTGCAAAAGAATAGTAGAATAATTCAGGCAGTAGCCTCGACACAACTGCTGGAACAATGAACTGTCAACCAAATTTGGGAATTGAAAATGTTGGAAGAAAAAATTATTTAAATTTGTAAAAATCTACTTATTTTTGAAAAATTATCGAAACATTTTTGACATATAAATGTTTCCAAGCATTGATGCATTTATGAAAAGTGTGCAAGCAATCAGCTGATTTGTCAAAACAATATAATTTGTGCGCCACAAAAAGAATGAAGCACTCTAAAATTAAAAAAATGAGCCGAAAAAAAAAGCAATTACGCTTGCGATTTCCAACATAAAGATGTTTTTTAAATTGCTTGCGCAAAAAATATAAATCTCCAAAAGGAGAAGAAGAGTTACAAGTGGTTGCAAGAAGAAATTTGTTCAGCAGGAATTTGCAAACTCTCAGTTAAAGATTTATCAAAATTTCTCCCTCTCACATCACATTCTTTTGCAGAAGTTTTGTGCTAACAGACGACAATTTGCAACAATTGTTACACATTTTAGGATAACCAGAGTTTACAAATTGTTTATATCTTCTATCGTGATTTCAATGGTTGAAGAATACAGGTAGTCGCATCGACACAGCTGCTGGGACAATGAACTGTCAAACCGATTTTGAAATTGAAAATCGTGAATGAAAAATTATTGAAATTTGTAAAAATTGTTGAAAAATATATATCATTACAACCTCCGATTTGCGTCGTATAAGAAAACATATAAAAATCTACTTATTTTTGACAAAACAATTTAAAAATATTCTTCTACCATGCGTGATTTCAAACGCCATGAGTGTTTGTATGACAAATCTCATAATCAGCAGTGAAAATTGAGCTATACATCATACGAAATGTCAAAATTTGTTTAAAGTTCTTTATCTTTCCGGTTGTGATTTAAATATTTTATTGACAAATCTGACAATGTCATCCATATCACAATAATAAGGTGTTCTTTAAGATTTCGACATTTCTTTACGTTTTCATTACCTCTCGTTTACAAAAGGCAGGGCAGAAGAGTTTATATATATTTTATATTTATTATATTGCAAAAATAGTTGCATATTTATCAATGAAAAGACTATATTTTTGTTTGTATCCCACTCTCTTATTTTTTTGTCAATACTCTTTTTTCGATTTTTTGTAATATTCAATTGTTTCTTTTTTATTTTCCATTAGTTCATAATGTCAAAAATTGTTAGGATTTAGAACTTTGGAAAAAATTTAGACCTTGATAGGCTACTATTTTTATCTTTCGTTTAAATGTCTATCCATGGCAGAAGAATATAGGTAGATGCATCAAAGCTTGGGAACATTGATATGTCAAAAATTTTAAAATGTTTTATGAAAAATAATTTTTTAAATGTTTTTTTATATACGACGCAAATAAGTGGTTTTTATAATATGAACTTTTCAAAATTTTTCTTACAAATTTTAATAATTTTTCATTCAACATTTTCAATTTCAAAATCGGTTTGACAGTTCATTGTCCCAACAGCTGTTTCGATGCGACTACCTGTATTCTTCTACCATGTGTCTATCACAATAGGCATTATGACAGTTCTGATTCAAGACAATTTGTCTCGTGTTAACGATAGGTTACTATGTTTTCATCTTTCTTTATTTGATAGGTATATTTGACAGCTGGTAGGTATTTTGACAACTGATCTAATTATCAGCTGCAATAAATATAATATAAATTTATTGTAATGTATATATACTCACATTCTCTCGCCAGAAGAGCTGAACAGCAACACTCTTTCACCTCTTCGTAGAAAAAGCAGGAACCCACTGATGGTTTATACGCCTTCTCGCCGACATAGCACATGTGTGGGACAAATGGTAAACCCTCTGGAAAAAAAGAAGATGAGAACAGAAATTAATAAGGATAATATATTCAGCTTAAAGTAAGTTTATATGCAAACTAACTAATCTTGCGTTTAACTAATCGCAATAAATATGAGCATAGGCAACCTATTTAAATTGATTGTGCTTGGCATGGTAGAAGAATACAGGTAGACGCATCGACACAGCTGCTGGGATAATGAACTGTCAAACAAATTTTGCAATTAAAATTTTTGAATGAAAAATTTTTTAGATTTGTAAAAATTTTTGAAAAACGCATATTATAATAACCTCCGATTGACGTCATATAAGAAAACATACAAAATCTACTGATATTTGAAAAAAAAAAAACATTTTAAAATGTTTGACATATCAATGTTCCCAAGCGTTGATGCATCTTCCTATATTCTTCTACCATGGTGATTGGTTAATTAGCACGGTTAACTATTGTGTAAACATCCCATAACCGTACAGTCGAGATGGAGATTTTTCCCAAATAAAGGTGAGAACACACACAACACACATCAGGCTCCTTCGTAAAAGAACAGGAGAGTTTTAGGGTTACTTAGTTCAATTTCGGGACATAATTTATACCTGCTCACCCTACGCTCCATTGCTCTCTTACGAAGAAGTCAGCCGATTACTTAAGGTGCGAATGTGTCAGGGTGGAAATACATAAAGCGCATATTTGGCTGGCTTACGTCATCTGCTAGCTTCTTCGTAGATGAACAGAGGAGTTTTAGGTTGACTTAGTTCGATTTTGGCCTTAGGCTCCTTTGTTCATTTCCGAAGAAGCCAGCCGATGACTTAATCCAGCCAGATAAGCGCTTTATATATTCCCACCTTCATACACTTTTTTTTGACTTGATTAAGTCATCGGCTGAATTTATACATGCTGATAGAACCATGCAGGTAACCTCATTTCAGAAAAGAATATCCAGCTTTCCATTTTCAATAAATATAAGTGAATAGAAAACAGGTTCCCAGCCGTGATGGATTATGGACAAAAATGATGAAATGATATTTACGATTGGATAAGTTTACCTTTTTATTTCTGCCATGACTTATGCTGTGTTGCAAAACCTACAAGAATTTTCTAGTTCTGCAATTTTTTGTGACATCATAAAGGAAAGAATCAGTGAGGGTGAGAATACTTAAAACGCTTATTTGATTGGCTTAACTCATTAGCTGGCTTCTTCGTCGATTTTGGTCCTACGTTCCTTTGTTCGTTTCCGAAAAAGACAGCCGATGACTTATATATATATATATATATGAGATGAAAAACTGCAACCACTTCCAGACTTCTGTCATTTCTAAGCCATGTCCGTCTATCTGTTTGTCTGTCTGTTGAAATAGCGATACAGCCCACATTTTTTGACGTAAAGCGTCAAAATTTAGCAGAAAAATGCGATATATCGGTCCACGTTTTAGTATAGTCCCCATATAACGGTACCTCCCGATATTCGATATTTTGATGATTTTTGCCACATTTTTTCACGGATTTGCCTGAAAATTGATATTTGTAGGTCATAATAGGTCCTAGTTCGTGTGGCGAAACATTGTATGTATAGGTCCACGTTTTGGTATAGCCCCCATATAACGGTACCTCCCGATTTTTTGTATTTGATGATTTTTGCCACATTTTTTCACGGATTTGTCTAAAGATTGGTATTTGTAGGTCAAAATGGCTTCTGGCTGCGGTGGCGAAACATTGTATGAATAGGTCCACGTTTTGGTATAGCTCCCATATAACATCAAAATATTCGATATTTTGATGATTTTTGCCACATTTTCTGACGGATTTACCTGAAAATTGATATTTGTAGGTCATAATAGGTCCTAGTTCCTGTGGCAAAATATTATATGTATGGGTCCACCATATAACGGTACCTCCCGACTTTTTGATATTTTCATGATTTTTGTCGCATTTTCCCACGAATATGTCTAAAAATTGGTATTTCTGGCAAAGACATAGAAGTATAAAGATGGGACAAGACAAAGTCAAAATATGGCAACCCTATGAAAATACCTCTGTTGTTACGATATTATAACAACAGTTTTACAAATGTTAACTGATTTTAACCGCTAAAGCTATATGCGAACTTTTGGAAAGATCTATGGAATAGAATTTTGAAGCCAAAATTTTGTATTTTTCAAATTTTTATTTGTAATTCCTTTCTGTAATTGTGGTTTTCATATTAACATCTTTCTGCCATGAGCTGTAACTCTAGGTATTGAAGACACAAACCATTTGCTCAAAATGCATTTTGTCTAGTCTTTACCATTTTAGGTCTTTGTTTCTGGGTCATAATGGGTTCTAATGTTTCCTTAAGGTGGAGGGTATTAACAGTTCGGCCCGGCCGATATTAATGTTTTTTACTTGTTTACATTCCATTATGATATCATAATTATCGATTACATATATCCTCCCAGCCATAACCCCACCGTAGCAATTGACAACCCCAAAAAAGAAAATAAACATTTTTCTCTTAGCAAAATATTTTGAATTTAAAAAGCTTTCAAAAAAAATACAATTTTCTTTTTGGTATTTCAATCGAGTATCCAGTGGATTTCCCAATCTCTTGTTTTTCACCGTTTTTTTTTTTTGGAAAATGGGAATCTGTTACAGATTACTTTTCCTTAACAAAGAGTGCTTCTGTGTGTGTGGAACAAACTGCAATATGTTTGCCTTCGATTGCCATGGTGTGGCTGGCGAAGCACCACCACCCAATCGCCACTGGACTCATTGACCAAAGTCTATATTTTTTCCTGCCATAGTTCAGTTTATTATTTCGTTTTTGGTTGCTGTTGTAATTTTTCCACCGAGTTCATAAATTTCCATATATTGTAAACACACACACACAGATGTAGAACTTTTATTGTTGTTATTTTTTATTGTTGTTGTTTTGATGTTTACTCGCCGAATTGCCAACAACATCTCAAGAAATAAACTATAATTTGGTCAATGCAAATACTTAACGAGCCGATCAAAGTAATTTCATTAGGCTTTCCATCATCGGCGATTTTTTTATGAAGTCATCATTTTATGATCTACGGAAGACGGCGACGACGTCTGTCTGGAAGAATTGATGAGATTTTTATAGCCGAAATGCCACTTATGTTCATCATCAAATAAGAAAACATAAATACATTTGAAACAATCAAGGTTAGGACAATTCTGAAACATTTTACTTAGAATGTTGTAGGCATTGCTTGATATTGGGGAGAACAAAAAATCAAGGCATGTTTTCTTTCTGGAGAAAATTTTCTGATTTCGATTTTTTCCCTCACTTCCCATTGAACTCAAACCAAAGTCATATTAAATACCAGGAATTGACATGATTTCATTACCATTGCATACGTTTTTAAATCATCAGCAATACCTGTTCTATGTCTATTTTGAATATTTATTTTTGTAAGAATTGCGAACAAGGAACTCCATAAATATTTATTCAGAAAATGTTGAAAATGCCAATTTTTTCAAAGAAAATGCATTTCAATATTTTGTGTTTTTTTTTTTCCAGACGCTGGAAATTGCATTCATCGCAGCTATATTTTTGTTGTTTCTTTTTCCAGCAATTAAAATTAGTAGTGTGGCCACCACCCCAAACCCAAATCTAGAAACTGCAATCAATGCAATTCAAACACCATTACCAAGAGATGCCACAATGAAATCTACAAAACCGTCGAGGTGACGAGTGATTTATGGATTTTGGAACATTTGAGGAAATTTTGATTTATGGCATTATTTTGAGGTTGATGTCTTAAAATTTTTGAAAAAAAAAAATAATTTTAGCAATTTTTCTGGAGGGGCTTCAGCAAATTTTAAATTTTATTGAATGAAAGCAAGAAATGTGGGAAATAGTCTCAAATTTTAGAATAAGTTTAGATTTGTTCGAATTGGTCATCTTTGGCACGAATTATGGCCTTCAAACGGCCAATGAAACCGTCACACGCTGCCCGGATGTTGCTCTGCGGTATTTTGGTCCATTCCCCGCGAAGGGTTTGCTTAAGGTGATCGACACTTTGGAATTATTTAGTGCCAACCTTGCTTTTAAAAAAAAAAAAACGCCAGACACAATAGTCCAACGGATTGGTATCCGGAGATTTTGGTGGCTATTGTGTGCTGGAAATGAAGCGATGAACCTCATTTTGTAACCTCATGCTTGGGCGGTGCGTGCTCAGTGCAATGGTGCTGAGTCCTGTTGGAATGTCCAAGGTCCGCGGCCAAAATGTTTGCGTACCCAAGGCTTTTATACACCCTCCAGAATATTTTCGCGACAATATTCAGCATATACAGAATTGTGTTATAGTTTTACCCGAAAAATCGGGAAAAATTAATTTAATTTATTCGAAATTCGAAAATATGCCGAAGGTTTGATCCGAAATTCTGAAAATTTTTAGATGTTTGATCCGAAATTCGGAAAAAATCTGAATTTGTGCTATAGTTTTACCGGAAAATCGGGAAAAACTCATTTAATTCGTTGGAAATTCGGAAAAGGATCGAAGGTTTGATCCGAAATTCTGAAAATGTTTAAATGTTTAATCCGAAATTCGGAAAAAGTCTGAATTTGTTGATAGTTTGACCTGAAAATCGGGAAAAACTCATTTAATTCGTTGGAAATTCGGAAAAGAGTCAAATGTTTGATCCGAAATTCTAAAAATTTTTAGATGATTCGATCCGAAATTCGGAAAAAAATCTGAATTTTTTCTATGGTTTTACTCGAAAATCGGGAAAAATTAATTTAATTCTTTCGGAATTCGGAAAAGAGTCGAATGTTTGATCCGAAATTTGGAAAATGTTTAGATGTTTCATCCGAGATTCGGAAAAAAAAGAATCCTAATTTTTTCTAAGCTTTTACCTGAAAAATCGGGAAAAGTCCGATTAATTCATTCGAAATTCGGAATGTTTGATCCGAAATTCGAAAAAAAAAGAATCTTAATTTTTTCTACGGGTTTACTCGAAAAATCGGGAAAAGTTCGATTAATTCATTCGAAATTTGGAA